ATTAATATAGTGGACAGTTTTGGTTTTGCGAAATCATAGTGTGTAACATTCGTATTGAACCCCCCTACCCCTAGATTTTAATGCATATGACCACCTGACCTGCATGATTTATTTGTGCGATTAACCAAATTTGATTAATTACCACCCGTGTTCCTCTGCAATGGATGTGTAGTAAAGGCCATAAATGGTGTGCAAGTTTTAATTGTATAAAACACTCTAAATTGTTATTGACTAGCAAAGTCGAAAAAAATATATAATCGGATTCTAAGCTTTCCTATTGTCAATCAAATTTGCCTTATTTCATTAAACTCGTGTTTTTTTGCCCACTCTAGTCAAATATAGATCTGATTGACATTATGACCAAAAAATTGTGTGATTGTCATGTGTTATATAAACACCCCAGACCAAAAATTTTTTTCATATTAACATTTTTATATTCACAGTTCAATAATATACACAAATCGAAATGTCTATTTGTCAGCTAGGGTCATTATTTATACTTTTACTGAAAAATTAGTTTTAACCTTTGTTTTTTAACTCTGGATTCTTGCATTTGCAGAAATATGGCCGAAATAGTATTATCATGTTTTGTTCTAGGTCCTGAGTGTGCTTTGTCAGTTGACATTTGCGAAAGAAATAAAATTTCCGATAGTCATAACATTTCTATTAACAATCTCACTGTTGATCATCTCAAGCAACTGATATGGAATATTATAAGGAAATGGTGTGATATGGAAAATGTCAAGGATTACAATGAATTAGTACTTTGGAAAGTTGAAGTTCCTCAGGAAAACCTTAATAATTCTCTTACCAAATCTGAAATTGAACAGCTCGGAGGTAGGGAAATGAGCACTATTAGTAAGTTTAGGAAGTTTTTTCCAGAAGGACATATACCTCCAGATGAAAAAATCCACATCATTGTACAACCATCCACCACTAGTAAGTGTCTTTCAATATTTTACTTCTTGAACAAAGATAGTTTTGCTATTCTATATCCATAAAACATATCGCAGTTCTTTTATTTATTCACAATTACCATCTTTGCCTTTCAATGAACAAAAAGGCCAAGAGTGTATTAATGTACAAAATCATGGTTATCTGCCTCGGCAAGGTATGCATAAGCTACTTTTAATCACTATGTTTATATTTCTAACCACTGCTACTTTATTAGATGGTCTTGGTGGTACAAAGTTGCCTTATTCTGCGAATCATGGAACTTTTGAGGGTGTATCTCTTACCGACCCTGACATTAGCTATAGATCCAAAGTTGTATTTTCGTTGGTCAAAGATCTTATAAAAGAGAAGGTCATACTTGTGCAAGCACCTCCCTACTCTGGAAAAACATCATTAGCCCAGCTTATTGAGTATCATCTGGTTAACTCATCTGAATATTCTTCAAAGTATAGGATAATAAGAACTTCAATGCTTTGGGGGTCGGTTGTGGGAGTGGATTGCAGTTGGGAGACGTTTGGAGAGCTATGGAAGAGAATTACCAATGTAAGTTGGAATGAATGGGTAGGACAGTGCCAACAGGCTCCAACGATTTTAATATTAGACGAAGTTCAATTGATATACAAACAAGGGCGTGGAATTGACGAAAGTAAGAAATCGAGCGCTGATGAATTTTGGAAAACTATCAAGGGTTGTCTTCAAGAAATGACAAACATTTATATTATTATGTTTGGAGCATACGGATATCATAGTGCCATTTCTGCAGGATTTTTGATTTCTGTTGATATACCACCATCGAAATGCAAAGGTCTTTTGGACATCATATTTAACCACGAAGAGTTAAAAGAACATGTTGAAAGGTTTTGCAAAAAATATCTCCCATTAGACGATCACAGTATTTCAGAATTTCATAAATATATTCGAAAGGTAACAGAGGGACATGTGGGTTTGATTGCTCACATATTGCGATATACAAAAGATGCAATGATGCAACGGATTCGTGAAAATAATTTGTCCTGGGAAGACATATTTGTGTACCTGAATTCAAACTATTTCAATGAAACTATCAACAATTGCCGTGCTTCGCCCAGGATTGAGGATTTTTCTGGAGACGAACTGAAACTGTGCGAAAGTGTTTACCTACATGGGGTTATCCCCTACCGAACTGGTAAAAAGGTTATGGCTTTAATCAAATCAGGTATTATTATTATTGATGAAGAACATAATCTAAGATTTTCAGCGCCTCTTGTTATGCGATCATTCCTTATGCAATATTATGGCAATGAAACCCCTTCTGTCACTATCCCTACTTCATTATTTGATTTTATTGTGAAAGTTTTCACAGCAATGAGTTTAGAAAGCAATGAATTATTACAAAAATTGCTTGGATTTGGATTAGATGAAAGTGGAATTTACCTTCTAGAACAAACATGGCAAAAAGAATTTTATAGAATTGGACAATGTCAGCTTGGAAATCGTTATTTTTTATCATGTGATGTAGGTGCTACTTTTATATGTGATGGATATATTGATTTCTATGTGGATGAGTTAAACTGGGCGATCAAAATCTTAAGAGAAGGGAAAGGTATGGCTGAGCATCATAGAAGGCTTGAACCTGCGGGAGAATATAGAGAGATTGCTAAGTATGCAAAGAGTATAGCTATTATTGACATTCACAGTGAATTGAAAAAGGTTCGAAAACTGCAGAAGGATTTTATATACGTGTCATACTCCGAAGATTATCATTCATTTAAGATAGAGAGTTTGAGTAAAGATACAGTGTTTATCAGGTTTTGAGATTAGATGTTGCATAATTTTTTAATAAACCCTTATATGTATATGTTTATTATACATATTATATAACTAAAAAATCAATAATAGAGTAGCGAGTCAAAAGGGAGGGATTACTCAAGCCCTAACCCATAAAATGAGAGTTCCTTCCCGCTACTCCATATCATTAACTGTGCTATTTTAACTGTTGTCTGCCTAATATCTAAGCCTTTTACACAGTAAAGAAATGGCAGTTCCTTTCCCCGCCCCACACTAGCTATCGTCATTATATTACTATTACTTAAATTATTATTTCTATTGCTATTACTGCTACTACTGCTAATGATAATGGAATTATCTTTTTTCCGATTTTCTTTTTCAACCCAATCTTTGATTTTGTCTAATGAGGTATGTTGTGGTGATTTCTGGTGCCGATAGAAAGTGGCGAGTGTTGCTGAACTGAGTCCTATTTCCAGGGATAAAGCATTGTACAATTTTGTGGGGGAACGTTTTTCTTTTTTCCTTATTTCGTTAAATAATGTTGTAAATTCGACCCAAAGAGTTTCGGTTGCTTCTGTATATTCAGACTGGTGACTTCTTACAGATGCTTGCCTTAATAAAGAAATACACACCATATTAATCAACATGTGGAATACACACTAAACTTGCCGAAGGCAGTCATATAGTGGCTATACTGTAACATAAACCTTGACTTCAGACTTCACTTCTCCATTCCGATTCTTTTTGCATTCTTGCAATTTCGTTTTTTATAGCTAAATTATCTTGTTTTAATTCATACTCTTTAAAGCTTCAATTTTAATGATAATAAATTCTCCAAGAAGAGAATGCTGTTCAAATTAATTCACCTCTAACAGCAGCAGAATTATTTCAATAGATAATGCAGATGTAAGTGTTGGAATGGTAACTGATGAACAAATAATCTTATCACTTACTCCAGCTGAGGAAGAAATTGAAGAAAATGTTCCAACATTACCTTATATTCCAATTAAAGATGCTGTTGCTGCTTTTGAAACTGTTCACAAATTTAGAATTAGATTATAACAAACTTAATTTGTATAATTCTAAAAGTTTAAACCAAGGAAAATTAACTTCTTATTTTACCAAACAACAAAAACATCATATCAGTTATATTATTATTATTATGTTGTACAATTTATTATCATTAATATTAATTATTTTTAAAATTATCACGTGATGATCATCGATTACCTTGGTTACCGAATACCTCGTTATAACGGATCATTGGGCCAAACCAATATGTTCGTTATAACGAGGTTTGACTGTAACCAATAAAAAAACACTAATACAAAATCATGAGAAATCTAGAAAGAAACAAAAATTAGAAGAGAAATAATTTACAGCCAATTTGAGTTATATGCCTTTAAATTCATCATTTACAAATGGGCAAATATTATTATGAAGGTATTCTTGCTGCTTGTAATACAAATTAGGAGATGTTAATACTAAAATAAATAGAGTTTTGATTTCTTTTATAACTTTAGTAATGTCTGTTTTCCTAGCTTTCAATAAATTAAATTTAACAAAGATCCATTGGAAACCTCCTGAGTTTTGGATTAAATAAATGCTCAAAAAGAAAATGTTGATACATTTGCAGACCATTTAATTTTTATAAATTCCCAAATAGATTTGATATCCAGGTATTGAAAATTTTTTAGCATTGAGTTTTATTCAATCCAGAAGTGCTTGATTTTTCAACATGATCCATACAATTACAATTGTTTTTCTGTAGAGTTTTTTAATCAAGTCAAAATTACCATCACATTTGAATTTTGTGTGTCCAAGGAATTATTCAATACTTTCATAATAACCACACAAGTACTAAATGCAAATAAAATCAAATAGTATTATTTATTATTTTGTCCACCAGCATTATCATAAGCAATCTTTAAATGATTTTCACCTTGGTTCAATTTCTTTAATTCCAAATGCCACTAGGACATTTTCCTATAATTTCCATTCCGGCAAAACCACCTCCGAGGTAAATAACAAAATCGAAATGTGTTACACAAACAAAAGGAAAATCGGCTCTGGAAGTTTAGATTGTCCAAGATTTTACTTGCTTTAAAAAAATATTAAAAGATCAACATCATCAAGATGCTCAATATTTTCTTCGTGGTCTTCTCTGTTAGATTGATATATTTCATACTTTCTTTGAATTATCTCATTTGTCTGATAAAATTATTCTTAAATCAAATGTTTTCTTCAATGCAATTTCATGTGACCATTTTACGAATTAATTCCAGAAAATCGGCACTCCGAATTTTGGGTCAAATTTTAATCTGGCAAAAACCTCAGTTGGTTAGACCTTTGAATGTCTCCCAAAATATTGTCTCGGAAGAAAAACGGACTGGAATTACTCAAAAATCAAGCTCATGAAAAGAAATAGTCATCATCACCATCACCGATGCTAAAAACAAATCAAAAAGAGCCAATTCAATGTCCAGAAACTCCACCGATTCGAATAAGAAATATTGCTTTCTCATTAAATAAATATTTGACCGTTTCATCCATGTAAATTACTTCTAAATTAAACACACACACACATATATAATTATAATATGCATGCTATTTGTATTAAAAGAAATACTAACTCTAAAGAAAATTACAAAAAAAAAACTTGAAATAAATAATTTTTTATTAACTAATCACACGCACTATATGTATATAATTTTTTAATCTTGTTCTGGATCTATTAAAATATTATTCCTTCCTCCTCCCGCAATGACCTTTACCTTTGCATCCATACTAAAAGGATTCCCATCATAAGCAACAAAACTTGCTGCATTACCATTAATCAACCCATTTTTTCTAGTATTCTTGTTATTATCATCACTATCACCACCATTATCATCAACCACATCTTTATTCAAGTCTAAAATATTTTCCAAATTCCATGTAATTAATCCAACGATTTCCTTTTCTTTAAATAATCCATTACTATTTTTAAATACCCAACCTGCCTCCCACACCAAATTCCTCGCTAATGACGAATCACTTACTCCTATTCCTATTTTAACTTTGTGTTCATGTAATATTTCAATACATGTTCTGTTTGTTATTGGTTTACCAATTAAAACATCTTTTGTTGACCATGTATTAGGTGTTGGTCTTGTTGGTCTCAGTATCACCGAAACGTTTTCTTCGTATAATTCTTTTGCTACCAAATATGATTCACTACCACCTAATATGACTAAATTAATATCACCGCCATGTGCTTTAATATGTTTTTTCAATTTAATTAATGCAGATATCTCGTCTTTATTATCTACTTCAGCTACTAATGGAATTTTTCCATTTATTATATATTTAAAAATATCATCAACATCGTTGTTATTTCTAAACAACAACAATAATTTACGTAATGTTGATATTTGACTTGAAATTGTTGGTAAATATTTGCTCTTGTGTTTTGATCCAATATGGACATGTAACGCAGTAGCTTCTTTAATAATTGCTTCTTTGTCAATAATTTTACTTGCTCCTGTTTTAAAAGCAACCGAAACTCCAGATATTAACCCTTTAGTAGAGATTGGTGATGTTATTACGTTAAATATTCCAGCTTTATATGCTACGTCCAAATGTTTACCGCCCAATTTCAATCCATCTAATGCGTAAATAATTTCATTAGGATTGCCAGATAATTCGACTTCTCCATCTGATGTACTTTCTTCTTTCATAATTTCTCTTAATCCGAGATCAGATCCCACTGCAGTAATTCCCTAAACATCAAAAAAATGGGGGTTTTTAAATTAAATTAAATAACTAAATAAATAATTTACAATTCAAAATTCATTTGCAAAAATATAATTTTACATTTTACATATAATATTAACTAAACTTACAGGGAGTACATAACCACCACATAAATCCACGATTTCAAATAATGAAATTTCTTCTGGATCTTTACAATCAGATCCAATACAATCCACAATACCATCTTTAATTATAATATTTATAGTTTCATTTCTTAATAGATTTGTTGAATCAATAATGTAATCTTGATTAATAAACACTTTCCCGATATTTTTAATAATAATTGACGAGACTGTACGAGATTTAACTTTATCATCATTAGTTATTTGGTGGTTATTGATTTTTTTATTTTTAGTTAGATTTTTAGTGGTAGAATTTTCTAAGAGAGAAATCGATGCATCAAACTGTGGAATACCATCAATGTATACTTCTAAAGGTGTTGCACCAAGTGATAATGGATAAGAATCCCAAAGCTACATATATATATAAACACATCTCTATATAATTAATTTATCAAATATATGTATTTATAATTATATAAAATGTATAATGGATTCACATTACCACTACATCTGCATCATATCCAACTGATATACGTCCAATGCGATGACCTAAACCAAGTGAATTAGCCGGTACAGAGGTTATGGCAGCAATTGAAAGTGATTTACTCAATCCATAATAATGAGCTTTAGCAGCCTCAAAAACAAATGTTTGAGCATTTATAACAGGGTGATCACTTATTAAAGAAACTAAAATGTTGTTATCTGCCAATATTTTTGGTCCTTTTGTACTACTACCAAATGATTCTTTTTTAGAGCCCCATAAATCTGAAAATAAGGCAACAGTGATATTACCATTTCCACGTTTAATTATTTCTGGAATACGGTAAGCGTCTGATGCATGATGTATGGCTGCAATTGTAAAATTAAATTCTAAAGAGTGTCGAATCATTGTTTCAATGTCATGTGTCTATTATTATTGTTATTGATTATTATCGACCGTAAAAAGATTTATTGTGACACATATTAATTTATTTTGTGTCTGAATAAACAATAAAAATCGATAATAATAATGATACCAACCTCATAACAATGAACATTTAATTTAGCATCGCCTCTTAACAAAGCAATCAAACTTTCATACTTTAGGTCCTCTGGAAAATTGGTGCTCAATTGTTCACTACCGCCAAGTCTTCTTGCTGAATTACACCAATTATCTTGACTTTGTTTTATTTTGAGTGCTTCTGAAAAGCTTCTACGAAATAGCCATGCTATTCCCATCCTGGTGCGTGGAGCATAACGTCTACCACCATAATCGTGCTAATATTAGTTTGAATATACATAGATGTATAACATAATTAATTAATTGGTTAAAAATTCGTGTTTAATAATCTAAACATGCATCATTATTTTAATATACCTTTGGATTTTCACCACATGTCATTTTCAGCCATCTCCATTTGTGTTCTTCTTCAGGATTTATGTTTGCATTAATGCTCATATCATCAACTGAAAGTGTATCAACCAATCGCATCTTTATAACATAGCCTTCACCACCCATTACGTTAGAACTTCCAGGCAAAACTAGATATGTATATGTATATGTATATGAGTATTTTGAAATACTTGCAAAATGTATAAAACACAATATCTGAAAATTGCTATCAAAACAAACTTCGCACCCAATGAAGTTGTAACACCACCAGAAGCCACAATTCTAATTGCTAATAATATAAAATATATAAATATATTATTAAATTATATAATAATAAATGTATTCTTTTATTTTAGCTTATCGAATTCAACTAACCAGGATCATTTGGATTTAATCCATCCTTGACACGTACCTAAACACAATAAAATTAAGTTAAATAATAATAAATAATGATAATAATGATAATAATAATAATAGGCATTCACTAACATAAGGTGTAATCATTTCATTCCATTCATTGTAATCTCTGTTTGCATCTAAATAAGGCCAAGAATCTAAACCCACATGACTAACATATTACAAATGAATGTAATTAATTATAAATAAAATAAATAACAAAAATTTTATAATCATTATCTAGAATAAATAATACCTATGCATGTCAACTAAACCAGGAGAGACATATTTCCTCTTAAGATTGATAATAATAATTTCATCATCATTAAATTTTTGTTGCGTCTCTTTCATTTTCTTTAGATAATTACTAATTTCATCTCTATTAATACTTTTAATTATACCATCCTGCATTAATAAATCACTTTCGATTGCATCATCACTCACACCATCCAAGATCAGTGCGTTTTTTAATAATATCGTTTTTGATGCCCCAGTATATCTAGGGTTTTTTGTTCTAACTAATTTACTATTATCAAGTTTTTCACGATTAATCTCATTGCATTTCAATAAACCTTGTCTATAAGTTTCTGGTGCAATTCCTGCTTGATACTGAGTTAATCTAGCTGGTTTGAAATTTAATTGATAGGAGTTGTATAGAATTGTAAAAGATGTGCATATTATAAAAATAAATAATAATAATAATAAGTTTTTTCTTGTTGAAAGTGATTGTGATGACAGTATTTTTCTATTAAAAACTAAATTGTTTTTAGTATGAAAATCTTGGCTGTTAGAAGAAACATGGATTTTTCTTGATGACATTTGATTTTGATAATTAAATAAATTTTTTCAATAGATTGATGGATGTCCCTTTCACACCACAATCATAATTACCATATTTGGAATTATCTTATTAATTATTGGTGTTACGAATCGATCGACATTGTTTTATCTTCCCAAATTTTTCTATGATGAATAAACAATTACAACAAATTGGAAATTTAAATGAAATTTTAGATAATATATTCCCAACTCAAAATGATGTGTTTCCAGTCAAACGTGATAATAACAATCAAATAACATCAGAGTCTGGTAATGGAGATTTTGAATCAATATTACATACAAGGGGAAGGTTATTATTGCTATAATTATTATCAAGAAAATAGATTGCTCTCATCTCTCATGTAAATATAAAATTAACGTTATAATTCTGATTAGTATAGAAATATGGCAGCAAATATCTAATGATTCAAATGAAACTCCCTTTCAATGGAAAAAATCTTTAATTAGAAAAGAATTTTATGCTGCCTTGGGAATTTCAATAGAAATATTTGAGGAGGTAAATAAGAAAGGAAAAATTACTATTTTTTTTATTTATATTTAATTATTTTTTTTAGAAATTTGAACATTATTTATTAAATCATATATATATATTTCAATAAAGACTAAATTAAAAGCAAATTTGAATCTTAATAATGTTGAAATGTCAAATATAACATCATCTTCAACGAATGCAACAAAAGTTACAAATAAATCGACTACTTCTTTGTCTGCACCTGTTAGTCGTTCTACGTCACCAACACCAACACCTCCGTCCAGTTTCTCACAACGTGATCTTTTATCTTCTTCCATCATTACAACAAAAAATAATAATAATCCAATGCCTAAAGAACCAAAAAAAGTTGATGTTGATTTAGCCAAATCATTATGTTCGATACCCGAAGGTATTATTAAATATATTTTTTGCTTGCTCGAAATTTTTAATTATTTGAAATGTTTAAAATTAACTAACGGTGATCTAATTAGACACACTGCAAACATATACAGCCTCCCAATTACTTGCATTTAAATCACAACTTCTGGCACTTTCACGTCAAACATCAGACGTATTAACTTATTGGTTGGATCAACGTGAACAAACAATGATGGATTCTGAAACTTATAATCAAATGATTGAATGTTTAGTTGGTCATGCACAAAAAATGAGGGATGGAAGTGGAAATAGATGGGATAAACTGAAGAAACCAAAGAATAAAAGTATTAGCGGCGGTGTTACTAGTGGATTCGGTAATTATATAGTTATTTATTTATAATTGGGAGAAAAATTGGCTTCTCTCCAGATTTTTTTAATTTTAATAATACATTAACTAAAAATATAATATTGATAGCATCACTTAGTCTTTCATTCATGAAACAAAAATCATCTTTACAAGATTCATATAACAACAACAGCAACAATGATCAAAAATTCGATGGTAAAGAATTAAATGATAGGCCAATTTCAATGTGATGGAGGAAGGAGACTTAAAAAGAAATTTTTTTAGTAAAAGACAATATATATTTCATTTATATATATAATTTTAGAGTGAATTTATAAATTCTTTGATTTTTTTTCTATTTATTTTTATAATTTTATATATTGTAATTTTTATTGTACTAGATTATCATATTTATTTTTACTATATAATATAATATTATTGAGCAATAACAATCATAGATTTGAATATTACTATTCTTAACTAATTTGTTTATAAAAAGAAACACAATCTTTTGAATTCGCTACAATGCACATTGAAGTAGTGGTTGTACCTGTTGATTATCTGGATAATCGGCTATTCACTGAATATCCGTTGAATATTCATTGATTTAAAAAAATATAACAATAAATAAATTTAATACAAAAAATATAACATTATTTATTCATCAGGAAAAACGTTTTCATTACATTCATATTTTTTTAATGAAATACAATTCTTTCAATAGCAATGAATTCAATTTTGTTCGTTTGGTTATCATTGTGTTTCCAGCTTCACTAAATAGATGCCGCAATACATAAATATTTTTTAGCCAATAATGACACAGTTGGGTGTTCATCTTGTAATTCTCCCACCATGTAAATGGATCCATCTTCCAATTAATTTCATCTAGTAGAAAGAATGTTTGTGATAGTGCAATAGTGGAAATAAAATATTATTTACATTATTATTTTTTAATTATATTATTCGCCAATTATCTGGTGAAATTTTTCAACAATGCCTGATTAATATTAACCGGGTAATCGGTAATGATCGGTGAATATCATTGGCGGGTACAGCTAATAAATATGACGTCAGTAAAAATAATTTTCTATTATCACAATATTCACGAGGCGTGTTTTTGATTTACATTCGCATTCATACGAGCTACACTTGTGCAAGAAGACATTTTTAAGCCAAAGTTGCGAGGTGGTTTTGGGAATATTTATGAAATGTGTAATTCGTGTAACATCTTGTAATTTCCCTCATTGCAGATCCTCCTATTAGCATATGAAAAATTGAAAAAAAAACTAAAACGAATTTACTAGACATTCATAATTAAGCAAGATATTACAATAATAATGGCAACAAACTCTCTTGCTATACCTTCCACTGATGGCGTCACTTCAAATACTTCTTCACTACAAGTAACAAATCGAAGTCATTCTACAACGCTTTCTTCAACAAACAGTTCACTACCATCTGTTGGAATTACACGGCGACACTCTATCTACGGAACTGGTGAAGATAGAATTGTGTTGGATATTGGAAGTCTTTATATTAAAGCTGGGTTTAGTGGTGAATCGAGACCAAGGCATATAGTACCTGTTTATGCAGGTAATATGAAAACACACTGGGACCAAGATTTTAATGGCAGTGGTGGAGTAATAAAAGCTTGCGGAGAAGGGTGTAGAATAGTTGGCGAGGTAATTTATTTTTGTTTCTTTTTCACCCTCTTTACCTTAAAGTTTGGTTGTTAACATATAACAGTTTGCAGAATTATTTGATCTAGAAATTGAGAAACATTCTGATGGAATTGACACTTTGTATGATCGACTGGCACATTATCTTCGAGAAATTTATTTTAGGTAAATGCATACATACTTGGACATAAATACGTACGTGTATGAAAGTGAATTTTTTCCTTACTAAATGACTTTTTTTAGATATTTATTAACAGATCCAAAACAACGTAAGGTTGTATTGTGTGAATCACCCATGATGCCATTAAAATTAAAACAATTGATTACCAAAGTACTTTTTGAAAATTTGCAGGTACACAAATATAACATTGATAAAAGTTCCAGCAAATAAATATAAAATAGAATAGAATGTTATTAATTTATTGATAATATTGTTATGATTATTAATTAGGTTCCATCTATTTCTTTTGCTCCTTCTCATATGTTGGCATTATTAACAACTGGCTGTACAACAGGATTAGTGATTGATGTTGGTCATTTAGAAACAACAGTGTTACCGGTATTTCAGCTTACTATTATTAAATAATTTATACAAAAAAATCTCCTTAAATATAATACTTTATGATTATTATTATTATCTTAGACGTTCTCAGCTCGCCCGTTAACTCCTTTTATTAAAACAACACCATTAGCAGGCCGCGCATTAACAAAAAGACTTAAAGATCTATTATCAACCTATGGTAGTATGATTATTCCACCATCAACCAGCCTAGTACCAGTTCATGGCAAATATTTGACACATGCTGTCTTGGAGGATATAAAAACTCGGTTTATTTTTGTCAGTCCAATTATGGTATCTGCGTCATCAATTGGTATAGCCGAGAAGACAGATGTTGAGGATATGGAACGCAAATATGCTTCAGTTAGTTCGTCAACTGAAATTTTGTATCCTATTACTATCAGTAAAAATGGTAGAGAGCGACAAATTGGAACTCTGGTGGTTCCTGGATGGATTAGAGAACGGTGTGCTGAAGTTTTATTTGAAGGTGATGAAGACGAGTCTAGTGTGGTTGGATGTGCACTTGAATGTTTACTAAAGGTAATAATCCATTATTATTTCAATTGTATATTTTTGCTAGTATTATTATTAATTGATTTTATTCTGTTTATTCTAATAATATTTAAAGACACCAATATATTTGAGAAAAGAACTCGCATCTTCTATCCTTCTTATTGGTGGCACGGCATTACTTCCAAACTTTCAATCAAGATTTGCACAAGAAATTCTCCGTGCTTTACACACGGATAAAAGGTTTTCTTCTTTAAGTGGATTGGTTGATCATATTGATTTTTTGGAAGATAACGGTAGTGGAAAAGTTTTTGTTTCAAATTGTCGAGCATGGGTTGGTGGTAAGTTCAAAAAATTATTTTCTCGGGAAGTTGTAGGAAATTATAATAAATCAATACTCATATCTTATGAATGTGATGAATATATATATATATAGGTTCATTGATAGGTTGTTTAAAATCTACGGTCGTAGAAATTTCAAGAGATAAGTATAATGGCGAAGTTCCAGATTGGACAATTTCAAACATGACTTCCTCTTCCTCTTCTACTGCTTCTCCTTCTAATAACAATAATAATACACCTACATCTACTATTACTGTTACCACTACAATTGCAGCATAATTTTATCATATTTCGAGTTTTTAATTATTAGGCTATATATATATACATTAGTATTAACAATAGTCATTATTTTAATGTAAAGTTTATTTATTTTATTCATATCTATATAATAACTTATTAACAAATTATATTATTTCTTCGCCACATTCCCATCTCTTAAAATCTAAAATTTTTATTTCTGCACCAGATACATTTTTAAAATTTTCTAAAACTTGTTTAACAGTTCCTCCACCATACAGGAAATCCTGGTATAAAAGTACATTATCTCTTAAAAATTCATCCTTATTGTTATAATTCCCAAGCATTTTGGAAGAGATGATTTTATCATCTTTATCATCATCGATGTATTTGGGATTATATCCTACAATTTGACGTGCTATGTTTTGAATCAACTTACTAGTCGAGTCTAACGATTGATTGAGGTTTTGACCCAAAACTTCCACTACTACAAGTCCACCAATTCTTCCAGTCATCGAATCACCTCCGTGTACGTATCCACCTGTTAAAACAATTCTATTATTATTTAATGATCTATCACCGTCACCATCATAATTATTTTTTAGTCCAACAACTTCTGCTCTACGTATAACAATATTTTCGCCTAATTTGCTAATTATATCCATAATTGATTGTTGAATAGTTGTTGCATTGGAATTATTATTAATAGAATTTGAAGAAGGATGGGGAAGTAAAGGTAATGTGTTAAGAACTAAAGGTGAAATTGGATTAATAATAATTTTATCATTATCACTAATTTTAGTTGTTGGGATTTTGTTTTCACCATTATTGTTTTCATTAGTAATGATATCGTTGGATAAAAAAAGTGTGGTGGACGCAATTTGAGCGACTAATTGTTGAAATAACAAGTTACGCGAAACAAAATCTGTTTCACAACTTACCTAGACCGTTATGATTTATGATTGATTAATTATAGATTATAGTCATAGAAATTTTATTGTTATTACTATTTTATTACTGGTGAAAATACCTCAACGATTGCGCCTCTAGTTGTCGATGTCAAGCCATCATTTTTTTCTAAATTTTTCGTTAATACAACTCCTATTAGACCTTCTTTTGCAATTCTATCTTTAAGTTTTTCCGCCTTTTTTTGGCCACTAATTTTCGAGTCTTCAATAAGCCATTCTTTTGCTTTATTATAGTCATTATTATGTTTGACGAGTGCTTCTTTAGCCTTGCTTAAACTAATCGATGTTTCTTGCCGAAGTTTTTGTAAAAGTTTTAAATCGGGTTTAACACCAGTCGTAGTTGTTGGTACTTTTAATGTGGTAGCAGTATGAAATGATCTACTTGACAAGTTATTACTGGGATAATTGAATATTCTTTTTTTAAAAGACGGAGGAATTGTTGTTATATTGAATATTATTTTAATTTTTTGATATCGATAATACATTTTTTAAATCAAAAAATGTAAATCTCTCGGAGGAGTGTAACACAAAAAAATCTCTAAAATAATGTGTAAATAATAGTTCCAAGAAGAAGAACTTCTTGATGGCATAAGAAAAAGGTTATATGTTATTTTTGTTTATTTCATTAAAGTACAACAACAGCAGAAACGAAACGAAGTAGTGTTGTATCCGTTGATTATCCGGTGAAAATTTTCAACATCCGCCCGATTAAATTAATCATTGAAAGTTTTTCAACACCAAATTAACCGGATAATCGGTGAATAATCTATTACTATTGAATATTATTCGGCGGATACAACCATTAAAACTTTGAAGTATTGGGAATTTTCTTTAAAAAAAAGATTTTCAAAAGGCAGAAAGTATCACGTCAACTCGTTCGCCCATATACGAATTGATCTAGATTCATTTCCAAATTTGCTAATAATCCTGACTATCTTGTAATTTTTATCCTGGTT